TAGTTCTAGGTATAGTGTTAGTTCTAGTTTTACACTTGCACTGTCACTAGAACTAACATTAGACCTAGAACTAGAAACATTTGGGTTTAGCCGCACGTCTCTAAAGACGGCTAAACCCGAATGATTCTAGTTCTAGGTATAGTGTTAGTTCTAGTTTTACACTTGCACTGTCACTAGAACTAACATTAGACCTAGAACTAGAAACATTTGGGTTTAGCCGCACGTCTCTAAAGACGGCTAAACCCGAATGATTCTAGTTCTAGGTATAGTGTTAGTTCTAGTTTTACACTTGCACTGTCACTAGAACTAACATTAGACCTAGAACTAGAAACATTTGGGTTTAGCCGCACGTCTCTAAAGACGGCTAAACCCGAATGATTCTAGTTCTAGGTATAGTGTTAGTTCTAGTTTTACACTTGCACTGTCACTAGAACTAACATTAGACCTAGAACTAGAAACATTTGGGTTTAGCCGCACGTCTCTAAAGACGGCTAAACCCGAATGATTCTAGTTCTAGGTATAGTGTTAGTTCTAGTTTTACACTTGCACTGTCACTAGAACTAACATTAGACCTAGAACTAGAAACATTTGGGTTTAGCCGCACGTCTCTAAAGACGGCTAAACCCGAATGATTCTAGTTCTAGGTATAGTGTTAGTTCTAGTTTTACACTTGCACTGTCACTAGAACTAACATTAGACCTAGAACTAGAAACATTTGGGTTTAGCCGCACGTCTCTAAAGACGGCTAAACCCGAATGATTCTAGTTCTAGGTATAGTGTTAGTTCTAGTTTTACACTTGCACTGTCACTAGAACTAACATTAGACCTAGAACTAGAAACATTTGGGTTTAGCCGCACGTCTCTAAAGACGGCTAAACCCGAATGATTCTAGTTCTAGGTATAGTGTTAGTTCTAGTTTTACACTTGCACTGTCACTAGAACTAACATTAGACCTAGAACTAGAAACATTTGGGTTTAGCCGCACGTCTCTAAAGACGGCTAAACCCGAATGATTCTAGTTCTAGGTATAGTGTTAGTTCTAGTTTTACACTTGCACTGTCACTAGAACTAACATTAGACCTAGAACTAGAAACATTTGGGTTTAGCCGCACGTCTCTAAAGACGGCTAAACCCGAATGATTCTAGTTCTAGGTATAGTGTTAGTTCTAGTTTTACACTTGCACTGTCACTAGAACTAACATTAGACCTAGAACTAGAAACATTTGGGTTTAGCCGCACGTCTCTAAAGACGGCTAAACCCGAATGATTCTAGTTCTAGGTATAGTGTTAGTTCTAGTTTTACACTTGCACTGTCACTAGAACTAACATTAGACCTAGAACTAGAAACATTTGGGTTTAGCCGTACGTCTCTTAAGACGGCTAAACCCGAATGATTCTAGTTCTAGGTATAGTGTTAGTTCTAGTTTTACACTTGCACTATCACTACAACTAACATTAGATCTAGAACTAGAATCATTTGGGTTTAGCCGCACGTCTTTAAAGACGGCTAAACCCAAATGATGCTAGTTCCAGGTATAGTGTTAGTTCTAGTTTTACACTTGCACTGTCACTACAACTAACATTTGATCTAGAACTAGAAACATTTGGGTTTAGCCGTATGTTTCTTAAGAGGACTAAACTCGAATGATTCTAGTTCTTCGTCTAGCACTGCATAACAATTAAAACTAGAACTAACACTAGACCTAGAAGTAGAAACATTGAGGTTTAACCGTGCGTCTGAGGACATAGTTTTACACTAGCACTGTTATTATGTAGAACTAACACTATACCTAGAACTAGAATCATTTGGGTTTAGCCGCACGTCTCTAAAGACGGCTAAACCCAAATGATTCTAGTTCTAGGTATAGTGTTAGTTCTAGTTTTACACTTGCACTGTCACTAGAACTAACATTAGACCTAGAACTAGAAACATTTGGGTTTAGCCGTACGTCTCTAAAGACGGCTAAACCCGAATGATTCTAGTTCTAGGTATAGTGTTAGTTCTAATTTTACACTTGCACTGTCACTAGACCTAACATTAGACCTAGAACTAGAAACATTTGGGTTTAGCCGTACATCTCTTAAGACGGCTAAACCTGAATAATTCTGGTTCTTGGTGTAGCACTGCATAACAATTAAAACTAGAACTAACACTAGACTTAGAAGTAGAAACATTGAGGTTTTGCCGTGCGTCTGAGGACATAGTTTTATACTATCACTGTTATTATGTAGAACTAACACTATACCTAGAACTAGAATCATTTGGGTTTAGCCGCACGTCTTTAAAGACGGCTAAAACCCAAATGATTCTAGTTCTAGGTATAGTGTTAGTTATAATTTTGCACTTGCACTGTCACTAGAACTAACATTAGACCTAAAGCTAGAAACATTAGGGTTTAGCCGTACGTCTGTTAGGACACATACAATGGAGAGTTTTATGGCAATTGATTATCATTTGAAAAGGTCTAAACTAAGTTACGGACGGATCTTTCGCTTGAGGTGTTGGGCGAGTGTTTTGTAAGATTAGTATACGAGATGCTCTTAACCTATAAAACTGAATTATAGCTATCTAATCCTCTGGTTTGTGAGATTACAAGCGCGCGAGAGTACCACGTCTTCTTAACTATGAGGAATGTATCCTTCCATCCGATCATGTTGAAACAATCCTAAATGACCGAAGTATCACGCCGGAGAAGGTGAGAAGTGGTCTAGAATTTGAGGAGGTACATAGTCTTTACTGAAACGTCTTTGAACGTAATTGGACCTTTGAGGATTATATTATTATGCTACGCCTAGGAAATCATGACCTTTTGGATATGTTAGAATTTTGAGAAGATCTGGCGGACGATATCCCCAATGCCGCTTTGCTCTTAGTATACAATTCAATGTTGGAGGTGTGTTGATATGGAGAGATATTTCTCTGTAGTCACGTACGAAGTGCTGTTTACTCCCGATATCCTAATGTTACTGCTAGTCAGGTATTCAATTGGTTACCCCGAAAACCTCACCTTGAATCCGATATATAGCCAAATCAACTCAACAGAGAAAATATAAAAATCTTTTAAGTTATCTAGATCAGTCCACTCTAAACTTTCTTCTGAAAAAGTACACATCAGATCAAAAAAAAGTTCGGTATAATAAATAATAAAGTATTATAAATAAATTCTTATCGAATCCTTCATAATACAAATTCTCCATTGGTATACAAAATTAATTCTTAATTATAATTCCATTACCCTACAACACACAATTCTTGTCCTATAATTACTTTATCTTTCTTTAAATATCTAGTTTTCACAAGTTGTTATTTATGTCTACAAGCCTTCTTAATTGTTAAATCTTTCAACTTCTTCTACAACTATGTATATTTAACAACTTACAAGTTATCAACTTAATCCCAACTTATCTGTATATTCTAGTTCTGCTATATAATCTAACATACGTAATTTTCTAATACGTATACTTAACCTTTCAACTACTTAAATAAAAATATACAACAATCTAGCGCTTAATAACAATTAAAACTAGAACTAACACTAGACCTAGAACTAGAAACATTCGGGTTTAGCCGTGCGTCATCAGACCAAAACTTAAACCCAAAACTAAACATTTGGGTTCGTCTCTTAAAACGGCTAAATCCGAATGTTTCTAGTTTTAGGTCTAGTGTTAGTTCTAGTTTTACACTAGCACTGTTGTTATATAGAACTAACACTATACCTAGAACTAGAATCATTCGGGTTTAGCCGCACGTCTCTAAAGACGGCTAAACCCGAATGATGCTAGTTCTAGGTATAATGTTAGTTCTAGTGTTACACTTGCATTGTCACTAGAAATAACATTATACCTAGAACTAGAAACATTCTGTCTAGCCGTACGTCTCTTAAGACAGCTACACCCGAATGTTTCTAGTTTTAGGTCTAGTGTTAGTTCTAGTTTTACACTAGCACTGTTATTATATAGAACTAACACTATACCTAGATCTAGAATCATTCGGGTTTAGTCGTCTTTAGAGACGTGCGGCTAAACCCAAATGATTCTACGTCTATGTATAGTGTTAGTTCTAGTTTTACACTTGGACTGTCACTAGAACAAACATTAGACCTAGAGCTAGAAACATATAGGTGTAGCTGCACGTCTCTAAAGACGACTAAACCCAAATGATTCTAGTTCTAGATATAGTGTTAGTTCTAGTTTTACACTTGCACTGTCACCAGAACTAACATTAGACCTAGAACTAGAAACATTCGGGTTTAGCCGTGTGTCTGAAGACGTAGTTTTACACTAGCACTGTTACTATGTAGAACTAACACCATATCTAGAACTAGAATCATTTGGGTTTAGCCGTCTTTAGAGACGTGCGGCTAAACCCAAATGATTCTAGTTCTAGGTATAGTGTTAGTTCTAGTTTTACACTTGCACTGTCACTAGAACTAATATTAGACCTAAAACTACAAGCATTTGGGTTTAGCCGTACGTCTCTTAAAACGGCTAAACCCGAATGATTCGAGTTCTAGGTCTAGCACTGCATAACAATTAAAACTAGAACTAACACTAGACCTAGAACTAGAAAGTTTCGGGTTGGGTTGGGTTGGGTTGGGTTGCGAAGACGCACGGCTAAACCCGAATGTTTCTAGTTCTAGGTCTAGTGTTAGTTCTAGTTTTACACTAGCATTGCTATTATCTAGAACTAACACTATACCTAGAACTATAATCATTTGGGTTTAGCCGTCTTTAGAGACGTGCGGCTAAACCCAAATGATTCTAGTTCTAGGTATAGTGTTAGTGCTAGTTTTACATTTTCACTGTCACTAGAACTAACATTAGACCTAGAACTAGAAACATTTGGGTTTAGCCATACGTCTCTTAACATTCCTAATGATTCTAGTTCTTGGTCTAGCGCTGCATAACAATTAAAACTACAACTAACACTAAACCTAGAACTAAAACGTTTCGGGTTTAGCCGTGCGTCTAATGACGCATAATATAAATACAACTTTTAGATTTTATTTATATCTGCAAAAATAACTGGATGGCTAACAAGTTTAATAAAACTTCCTCCTATGGTTGGAATGCTACTGATGGGAGTTCTTTTAAGAAACGTTGATTTTTTACAAATCGAAGGTAATTACAGAAAATTCACAGCAATTCTTCGGTAAGTTTTTAAAAATTCTTATTAAAAAATTATTAAAATTCCCTAATTCTTTTTTTAGTCAACTCGCCCTTGTGAATATAATGTTACCGGCTGGATTAGGTTTAGATCCAAAAGCCTTAAAGAAAATGTCTTGGATGGTTCTAAACTTAGCCTTCGTTCCTGTTGCTGTTGAAGTGGCTGGAGTAGCCGTCGCGGCTTATTGCTTATTAGATTTTCCGTGGTTATGGGGAATCCTTCTTGGGTAGGAATTTATATCGCGTTTTAAGAATGTTCAATTTGGTGTTGAAAAGATTTGTAACGTTGCTTCAAGGTTACTCTTGGCTGCCGTCTCACCAGCCGTCATAATCCCTTGTCTTTTTCAACTACAAGATATGGGATATGGAATTAATAAAGGCATCCATACTTTAGTCATTGCGGCATCAACTTTAAACGACATCATTTGTATTGCATTTTTTGGAATTGTCATTGGAATAATTTTTAGTACCGGTAAAAACTTTCACAACATTTTATTAGGTTTCATACTTAATTTGTATTAATTTTAGGTTCTTTAACCATGCAAATTTTACAAGGACCTATTGTAATTGCAATGGGTGTAAGTTATGGAATTGCCTGGGGGTTATTATGTCAATACATTCCAAGTAAAAAGGAGAAATATCTAGTAACGTTAAGAACGTTACTGTTGGGTTTGGGTTGTGTTGTTTGTGCGTTAGGAAGTGACGCTTTGGGTTATGGAGGTGCTGGGGCTTTGGGTTGTATTATAGCTGCTTTTGTAGCTAGTATTGGATGGAGAAAGCAAGGATGGGACAACCAGGTAAGCTTAAAATAACCATGACATCAAAAGTATTACTACGTAAAATATGTATAAAATTTCGGTAACTTATTCATTGTTTAATAATTAGTAGATTTAAACAAATTAAGAACTAAGAATTATGAGAAGTTTAGTATGAGACATAACATTCAAATACCTCAACGAGGAGTATCATATACAATGGAGAGTTTTATGGCAAACTTCTTCAAAGTTTTTTTAATTTTTGGGACAAGAAGATTGCCTTTGTATGCCTACTCTTGTAGTGTTGCTTTTGCGGTCGTTCTCAATTCGCGATCATCTCCAGTTTCGATCACGTCAACGATTTTGGAGAGTTAATCGTAGTAAAGAGAGAGAATAAAAAAGCAACCTTGGTTATAGCGCTAGTTCACGTAAGTTGCGTCATAGATGATCTGTGGGACATCCACAGACTGCACAGGAGATATTCTGTTGGTTGTGAAATGTTTGTCAATTGATGGCACAATTGTTGATCTTGATTGCTCACTGCTCTTTCATATCGAGTTCCTTAGAAATTACTGTGTTTAAAGAGTTTTTCATTAAGAGTCGTCGTTTCAAGTGGATTGAAATAATGAAAATTATTCTTATTGTTAGAGATTAATGCTCTCTCGATTATTGTGTATTTCAGAGCAAAGTTATCTAAAAATATAGCTGCCGAGAGCCAAGACATATCTTCTTATATTCCGGTATTTTCACGTCTTATTCGATCCACTGTTCCCAGAAACAGACCCCTAAAGTACTTTCACGGCATATCTACTTTGCGATAGGACACCATTATGCAAGTACCATACTTTTATTTTGATATTTTACTGAACGTCACCTGCAAATAAGTCCAATCCTTCCAAATGCTGACCTTATCTATGACTATCAACTAATAAGGTCAAAAAAACTGTTCCAATAATGACATCACCCACAATCCCAGCACAAATATATAAATTCAATTTATAATAAATTGTAGTTGCATGTTCTGGAAATTATACCAATCTTATAGAATAATCATTTTTAAGGACTTCTAAGAACATTCTAGAATAAACAGTCCGACTCCCACGAGCAATTTCCAGCACCGGTGAGTTGTTTTTTAAATAGGTAACCTCTCAACTTAGTCCTAAAATCACGCACATTCTCCAGCCTTAAAGAATTCGGAATCGCATTCCGTGGAATCGTCCAGGAATGCATTGACGCCTGATATTAATGTTATGAACGTCAATCCGGAAAGAAATCTTATTGTATAAATAAGGAGGAATTTTAAACAACAAAACTCTATGATATAAGCACAATGTGTGTAAGACTCGACGCCTGTACATATTAAGCCAACCTGCCCAGGACAATGTATGAGAAATCCTGTCACGCTTTTTAAAGTATTTTGCACTCTCTGAATCCTATCCCTATACGTACTATCAATACAGGAGTGGTATAGGGCGTCTCCAAAATTAAATAAAGAGAGTACAAGCGCTTCACAACAATGGATTTTCAATTTCTGGCTCAACATTTGTCTACTACTATATAAGATCTTGATAGCAGAATATGCACGCTGTAGAAGTCCACTAATATGTCTCCTGAATCTCAGATCTGAATCTAAAATGATTCCAAGATTGCTAGCCTCAGATGAAATGCCAAGTTTAACATTGTCAAGTCGCAAATCTAAAGAATCCTTCACCACATCCGCACTAAAAACAACAACATATGACTTGGTAAGACAGTGCCTCTTAACATAACTAAGCAGTCTATCAAGGTCAGCACTGATACATATTTCTGCGTTCCGAACATTGTCCCTATTAAAGGTATAATAAACTTGCGTATCATCTGCATACATACATGTATGACTTTTGCAAAATTTTAATTGACTAGTAAGATTAGATTTGTGTATTAAATACAATATCGGACCCAGAATAGACCCCTGTGGTACACCGGATATCATAGGGATTGTTTCTGAACACTTGCCATCCACCTTTTCAAACTGAGATCGATGGACTAAGTAATTACTAATCAGATGAACAGCCAATGGGGAGAACCCAACGTAATGCAATATTGAAATAAGAGTTAAGTGATGTAGAGTGTCAAATGCCTTTGAAAAATCAAGCAACACAAGAGGTGTGATACACCCACTATCAATTCCTCTCAGCATGTCATCCGTCACGTCAAGAAGAGCAGATGTATAACTAAATCCATTTCGAAAACCTGACTGCTTGTTAGACAGAATGAGAAATGAATCAACATGTTTCCAAATTCTGGCAGCAATAATTTTCTCGAAAACTTTTGAAAGCACTGGCAGAATACTAATAGATCTGAAATCATTCAAATCCTTAAAACAGCTCTTCTTAGGTACCGGAATAACCGAAGCTATTTTCCACAAATCAGGATAAACACCATGCTCTATTCAAAAATTGAAAATGTGACATAAGTAGGGCAGGATAGTAGGACAGCACATCTGCAACATTTGCCTACTTATATTGTCATAACCAATAGCATTTGTTTTTATAGAGTTCAACGCGTTAAGTACCTCTACTTCTGAAGCTACACTGAACGAGAGTTCCTGGTCAATAGTGAGTAAACGATTAGAATTATAATACTTAATTAGCTCCTGATTGCCAATACTATTATTTTGTGAACAAATGTCACTTGGGATCTCCCGCGAACAATGCCAAACATTCTGAACGTATTCCAAAGCTGTCGGGCGTTATTCTCTAGTGATAATTGGGATAGAAATGCCCGTTTTTCACGTTGAATTGAATTGGTAGTAAAGTTTCGCAATTGCATGTAATAATTAAAATCAGCAGCTGTATTAGTTGCTTTAAATTTAGAATAAGCATTGTTCCTCAACTTCATAAGCAATTTTATATTATCCGTTATCCATGGATGGTAATGCTTCCGTAATGTTACAGTCGCACAATCAGAATATAAAATATAAAACAAAATGAAATAATATAAAAACAATATACCATTAAAATTGCAATTAAAATCACATTTACGATTCCGATTACAAACAAACATTTAGTTCGTTTATGTAAGAATTTGATTCTGGAGTCGCCAACAAGAAATCAATCATATGCTGTCCTAGGGCAATCTTTTATAATATGTGTCACTGTTTGATTTAGAATTGACCAGGTTTTGCGTGGTAAATTAAAACCATGCTTTTGAATAATACATGGGATCTGATTGTTCTACTTTGCTATTCATTCTTGATGTCGAATGTTAGTCAGGCTAAATTCTTCATCTATGGCAGTGGCTGCTGCTTTGATAGGTGGCTATCTGGATCAGAGGCTGGTAGAGTTGGCATCCTCAATCTGTTCATGTATTGGTAGGTTTCAGTTGCTCAAGATGTTTTTGTAATCCATATGGTCTCGAATTGTATTCTAAGTTTTCAGTCGACGAGTTTATTGTTTTGATGGAAATATGCTACCTCATTTTTGCTTGCGTTTGGTTGAAGGTAGCATTTCCGGAAGTACCTTCCCAGCCTATCTAGGTCGGCTGTCAGAATCTCCTCTGATTCTTTGAAAAATCTACATCTTATTGCAATGAAAAAAATCGTATTGCTTATTACATCTTGCTTATAGCACATTTGCGATATATAGGTTAAAGAGGAGCGGTGCGAGCACCGACTTTTGTAGCAGGCCGTTCTAGAGTTTTCTTGGTAAGCTCACATCGGACCCATAACGTTCTGTTATTCGGCATATTATTTAGCAGGCGAGTTGTTAACCGATAACACGGAAGGACTTACAAATCATGCCTTCCTGTGTCGAAGGCAACCGGCAGATCAATGAATGCAGCAGAAGTTCTGCACTTTCTTTAGAATCCCGCTTCAATATAAGTTGAAAGTGAGAGGACCTGGTCAAAGTTTGAAACCTGCCTGTTCGATCGGTATGTATGTATGTAGTTTCACGTAGGAGTGTTTCTTCACAGCACTTAGGCCCCAGCGGGCCCTTTGTACGTCCCCACAATTTACTGTTCATTCAAGGGTCAGAAAACCAGCCCAATCTTATATCCTTATATCCGAAATTTGGAGCCATGGTACTCCGAAAATGGATTCCCTTAAGTACGCGAGGTTGGGACAATCACAAACAATATGACTTACCGTCTCGTCTTCCATTTCACACCCTCTACAGAGGGGTATATTCGCCAACTTCATGTAAAACATGTGCTTACGTAACCTGCAGTGTCCGGTCAGGAAGTGGAAGAGAGGGAAGCTTCAAGTCACTTTTTGATTTTCCCAGAAACTGAGTAGATCTTTTCCGATCAGGGTAGAGCAAAACTTTCTTAGCAAAGACACCTGCTGCTGTCCCATCCCATCTGTCGCAAAAAGCTCGATGGGAGATGGAGTTTTGATGCTGTATTAACAACTAGTGGTACAAACTGTTCAGGGGAGATCGGTGACTTGTACAGGTGAACGCGCACCTACCCGCACCGCACTAATCGCCCGAGCCACACGAAACGAATTTGTGTACGATCTCGCACATCTATTCGAACCGCACGCGCCGCATCGAACGAACCGCGTTGTTCGCACCGCTTTGCAGTATTATGTAGTGTCAGTTTTGCTTTACATAATTTTTTAAGAGAAGACATATGTTACTGGTCAAAAAATGATCATGTAAGGCTGTGTGACATGCGTAGAATAAAGAACATGAGGGGAGCTAGAGGAAACATAAGGACCTTACGTTGAAGTTGACTTACTTGACGTTATCAGAATCGCCCTGTACGCATCGAACGTAGTGATTCTGATGACATCATACGCATTCATATATTGAATTCGTACATCCACAGCATTTTATTAAAATGCGGCTGTACGGTGCTGATAGGTGTGCGGTACTACATATATCATATAAAAAATTTTAAAATTCGTTTCGTGCGTCGCGTGCAGGTAGTGCGATGCGGCTAGGTGCGCGTTCACCTTTAGCCGCCCGTTTTGCCAGCCTGTCCGCATGATCATGTCCTTTACTTCCGATGTGTCCTTTTCGCCCCTTTATCGTGACGTTGTTGTATACGTTTGCCTC